CAGCCGGCGGCCACTTGTGCGTCATTCATGTCCTCTTCCTGTCTAGGTCTCTTCGAGCACTTCCTCTGAGGAGGCCCACACGACAGCCCAGTGTCTCCCGAGGCCTGCAGGAAGTCCTGGGCGCGACACTGCCGCTGTCGGTGGTGCCCACTTCCCAGATGTCACCGCTCGCTTTTAGCTCCTAAGACGTCATCGGCCGGCCGCACTTGGAGCACACAGGGCACTTAGTAGGTGCTCGCTGAGTCCCGGCCGTGGACGGTGTGTGCTGCCCACGTCCTCCCCCGTCACCTCCCAGTGACGCCAGCAGAAAGACACATAACCCAATTTTTTAAATGTGCAAAGGACCCAGATAGACATTTCTCCCAGTAAGACACACAGACGGCTAGTGTGCACCTGCAGACGGTCAGTTTTGTTAGTCATTAGGAAAACGCGAATGGAAGCCACAAGATGCTGTCTCACACCCTCCATCAGCAGAGATGGCAACCAGCGTCGGGGAGGAGGTGGAAGCATCGCGGGACCCTCAGTGCTGCCGACGAAGATGTGGATGGTGCGGTTGCCAGGGGAACCAGCTCAGCAGTTGCTCAACACGCGAAACCGAAGATAAGCACGCACTCCAGAAGTCCACTCCTGGCTACAGAGCCCGGGCTACTGACCATGGATGACCACAGCGCTGCGGTTCCAGATAGGATTCACCAAAGCCACGGAGTGGGAACAGCTCCAGTGTCCGTGGCCTGATGACCGGACAAGTACGGCCTCCCCACACAATGGAGCATCAGCCTCTGAACACAATGACTCACGTCTCGCCATGAATGAGCCTTCCAAGCATTATGCCACATGACGACGTCCGGACAAAAGGCCACAGATGACAGAGCATGACAGATACATGGAATTCCCAGAACAGGCCCGTCCTCAGAGACGAAGCAAGGGGCTAGTGCCAGGGCTGGCAGGAGGTGGGTAGGGGGAGATTGTGAACGGGCACACGATTTCTTTCTAAGGTCTTTTTCTGGAATTACATTGCTCAGCACTGCGAATGCACTATAAACCATGGAACTGCAGTTAGAAAAAAGGATGGGCCGGCACCGTGGCTCACTAGGCTAATCCTCCGCCTGTGGCGCCGGCACCCCGGGTTCTAGTCCCGGTCGGGGCGCCAGATTCTGTCCCGGTTGCTCCCCTTCCAGTCCAGCTCTCTGCTGTGGCCTGGGAGGGCAGTGAAGGATGGCCCAAGTGGTCAGGCCCTGCACCCGCATGGGAGACCAGGAGAAGCACCTGGCTCCTGGCTTCGGATCGGCGCTGCGCGCGGCCATTTGGGGAGTGAACCAACGGAAAGAAGATCTTTCTCTCTGTCTCTCTCTCTCACTGTCTAACTCTGCCTGTCAAAAAAAAAAAAAAAAAGGATGGTTGATGGCATATGAATTCTGTTTCAATTGAGAAAGCACAGCCCCGCGGGTGAACATCCCATCCTGCTGTCACCAGCGCGCACGCTGAGTTGGCAGTCTCACTCCACAGTGCTGCACACCTGGGGCAGAGCTCCTGGTCCTCCGTCCCGGGGGCCGGGAGAAAGGCCCGGTGGGCAGGATCATATCACACAGAGCCCGTACCCCAGGGAGACGGGCCATTCAGTGGAGAGGGGCTGATGTCCATGTACAGGCGAACTTGACCTGTCAGAGCCAGTGTCTACCCGTGTCCAGAGGACTGCCCCGGAGTGCTGGGCAGGTGCACAGGACGCTTGGAGAAACAGCATGGCTGCTCTGAGTCACCTCACCCCAGAGACGCGCTGATGAGTTAAATATAGATCTCCCCCGAGGCGTCGCTCTCTCCTGGGCTTGCACGCAGGGGCAACACTCAGGAGGGGCACCCCTGCACAGAGCCCACTGGCCCTCTGTCTTATGCAAAGCGGACCCCAGGAGCCAACATGCTGGGGGGCCAGTGAGGGTGACCCAGGCCCCAGCCAGAGGAGCTCACTGCCCCTCACATTCCCAAGTCCCCCCTGCAAGGTGGCAGAGCTGGGCTCAAGCCGCATGTTGGTCTGCTAGGTCTTCCCACGCCGGTTCTGTCCCCCGGGATGGAGCGCCAGGCTGCCTTCAGACTGAGCGTCCTGGGGCAGATCCAAGCTTTCCTGCCCAGCAGGAGGCCAGGGGGCTGCCCTCTCGCTCCAGGAACTGAAAGTTGTGCTGGGCGCAGGGCGGACGTGCCCCCCAACGTCACGAGGCCAGCACCCGAGCGCATCCTTGCCTTTTGCCATGTCCCTGGCCCCACCCCCAGCTCTATTTAAATAGTTAAGTTCCATCCTCTTTTTTTTTTTCCCCTGCTATTTGTGATTTTCTTGAGGATTCATTACTAGGACTTTGACCTGAGAACAGGGACCATGACATACACCTCTAGGCACCCGCATTCATCCTACTCAGGAGCCCCACAGCCCCCTCCTTAGTCTGTGCAGCAGTCCTGGCTGCGTCTCACCCCCAACACCGCCTTCGCGAACACAGCCAGGCCTCAGACAGTTCCCAGCCACCGATCTGAGGCAGCAGACTGCAGCCCGGTGGCCTCAGCTCCCCCGTCCCAGCAGCTGCCCAACACAACTGAACCACTAAAGGGGACCTCACTTCTTTCCACTCTGCAGGTCCCAGCTACAACTTCGCAAACCACCCAGGCAGGCAGGAGTCCCTGTGCTCAACCGGTGATGCCCAGCCACTGTCCCCTTGCTCACCAGAGGGGACCTGGGAGGGAACACAGCCCTGGGGCTCCTGCGGGGGCCAGGGCACATGGCCTGTCCCCACTTGGGGTTGCTTCCGGAGCAGCAGGGTGCCTGTGTCTGCCTCCTGCAGCCCGGACCCCTTTCAGAGGCCTGGCATGGCAGCCCCACAGCACCTCCCCTGGGACCGCCGGAGGACAAAGCCTGCTGCTTCTGGAGCCCAGCCTGCCCGGGACTGCCTGCCCAGGGCCTTCTCCTGTGGTTCCCAGGCACCAGGCCGTGGCCAGGCAGGTGCAGCCTGGCTTTCAGCCGTCCGCAGGGACCAGAGAAGATCAAGCGTGGGGCATTCTGGCTTTGAGAAATTAGTTCCCTTAGCAGAAAAGGACTGGCTTTTATTTTTATTTTTAAAGTATATGTTCCTGCCTGCTTGGTGTTCAAGGATGCTTTCCGGAACTGGGCTGCTGGAAGATGACAGCTGTCATTCATTCCGTTGCTTTCCAGTTCTTAAAGCCCCCTAACTGGCAACATCAGGGATTGCAGGTGTGTGTGGTCCCGAGGTTTTTGGAAAGTTTGCTGTCTGGGGTCCCACGCCTACAGTGGGCATCCAGTGAGCTGAGGAGAGAGGGGAGCCCTGAGCTTGGGTGGTGGGAGGACTGCCTGAAGGGGGGGCGGTGCTGGTGTTTGGAACTCAGCAGTGAGCTGGGCCAAGAGGGTGGTGGGCATTTGTGAGTGCCGGGCACCTCCCTCCGAGACAGGTGTTCAGAAGAAGGAGAGGAGGAAGCAGTAAGGATCCACAGCCTGGAGCCCTGCTTTGCCGCCAGCCAACATGGCGGCCCCCCGCTGTCCAAGCTCCGTCTGTGCCCTGCAAACCAGGGCTGCTGGCCCGGAGGTTCTCTGCCCTCCCCGGCTCCGGCTCTGCCTGCCAGGATCCTGGACCTTAGAAAGCTCACTGTGGAGAATCAGAGAGTCCCCCCGCCACAGGGCCCTGGTCCTGGGGACCCCAAGCCCTGACAGTCTCAGCACACAGCCAGCCCCAAGAGCTTCTTTGGGCCCAGGGGAGAGCGGCACGTGGGCCAGCCTGGGAGATGTTGATGAGAACCTGGCCTCCCCTCCTAAGGCCCCTGGAGGCAGCAGGTCCCCAGGGGCAGCGCCTGGGGGGCAGATACCGGCCTGCGTCCCCTCCCCTGGGGCGTGAGGATGGGGGCCACAGGAAGCCGGCCTTGGGAGGCGGGGCTGCTGACTCAGCCAGCACAGGATGGTAGCCGGCTGTGAGCCTGGGTTGGTTTCCAACGCCTGGAGTGACCCTGTAAACACCCCGCCTTCTCTTGCTTCCACCCCAGGGCACGTGCACACCCGGCCTGAGCAGGGACGGGGTGGGGCTGCACAGTCCCCTGTCCTCAGCTGCAGTCTCTGGGGGCAGATGGCCTTGGCTTTGGCTGGCGCCCTTCACTTGAACCTGCCCGAGCCTCAGTTTCCTTATTTGCAAAATGGGGTGTTCGTGCATTTCAGGTTGTGGGGACCAAGTGGGCCAATAAATGCAGAGCACAGCGGGTCTGTGACCTGTCACCCGCCCCGCTGCTGCCTGAGCCCTGGCTGCTCCGAGGGACCCTGCTGCCAGCCCAGGGACACCACCTGAGACACTCAGGTGCACACACCGTTCCCGAGTGTGCCCTGGCGCTGCCGAGGCCAGTCTGGGAGCAGGGCCTCCCTCTGACATTGGACACGATGCGGAGTTTAGAACAGTGTGCTACTCAGCAATGTCCCCATCTGGGTGGCGGGGAGCGGCTGGTGGCAGAGAGACCCAAACGGGTGGGGACACGGCCCAGGGCGTAGCGGGGAGCAAGGCCACAGGAGGCTGCTTGCGGTGGGGACAGTGACTTCCTCTGCTCTCAGGGCCCAGAACGTGACTTCTGGGTGAACTGAAAGTCCCACCTTCGTCAAACCCACCCCGTGCTGGCGGCTCCTTCCAGGGGCCCCAGGCCAGGGGGCAGGAAGGGCTCTCTCTCCTGCCACGTTCGCCCTCCGTGGGGTGTCTGGGCCTGGCGTCTGCGGCTGGCACCTGAGTTGCCTCTCAACGCTGCTGCCTGCACGGAGCCCTGAGCTCCTGAGCTTCCTCCTGGCCCACAGCTCATGCGCAGCTGGAGGTGCCATCAGGCCCGAGCGGCTTGGAGGGCTCGGGCGCTGCAAAACGTGCCGCGGGCCGAGCTGGCGGACTCCAAGGCCAAGGTGGGCCTCCGGGAGCCACAGCCAGGTCCCTCGGCCCCCAGGGCCTCCCCCCACCCCTCCATGGTTCCGGGAAGGCAGTACTCACAGCACGCAGAGCGCGTACGCCCTGGAGATGGACTCGCTGGCGCGCACAAGGAAGCTACCGTCCTTGCCGGTCCTGGAGAGCAGCTCCTCCGCCTTGGAGCGCGTGATGTTGCCGTGGTTCCAGCAGGGCACCATGGTGGCCGAGGGCCTCCCCGGCCGGCTGGCCGCCACCCCGGGGACCTGCTGCCCGTCCCCTCTCGGTCGCCTTGGCGGCGGCTGCTGCCGCTGCTGCTGCTGCTGCTGCCACAGCTTAACTGACTGACTTCCTGTTTCAGGCACCCAGCGAGGGAAAGGAAACTGAGCTTCAGAGAACTTCCTCATGACAGAAAACCCAGAGCGAGCGGGCCCCCGCTGCACCTGCCCACCCCAGCCACGGCGTGCAGCCCCTCCCCTCGCTCTCCGGCCACTCCAGCTCCGTAGGGGGCAGGAGACGGGGGCTCACTTCTGGAGAAGGGGGCCCAGCAGGTGTGGGAAGGCCACAGCATGGCCATGGCTGGCCTCTGCTCTCCTCGGGGGGCCCCCCAGCATAACCAAGGGCAGAGCTCTTCGGCCGCACCGAGGACAGAGGGGTGGTGGAACCCTGCCCCCACCTCAGTGCAGCCTGGACGCTGGGCAGCCTCGGCCCCACCACCTGCAGATTCGGAGGGCCCAGGTGGCATTGCTGCGGGTGAAGGGACCCGGGCAACCCACTCCCCACGGGCAGCTCTGCCAGGCTGGGAGGCACACAGGGAGCCTGGCAAGCTGGAGACAGGAACCATGGACTGCTGGGCTCCCCTCCGATGCTGGAGACCAGGCGTGGAGACCCACTGTCCCGGCCAGAGCCAGCTGGCCCCAGACGACCTTTGTTCCCGAGCCCTGCCTCATGGCAGAGTGAGGGTGGTGGGCCCGGCCACGCAGCCCACTGCTTAGACGGGAGCTGCCGTCCGAGGGCAGCAGATTTCCAGGGAATGGGGGGGTGGGTCTGGGGCGGACACCTGTCCCTGGGACCCTAGGGTTGGGTGCCCTTAGTCCTGTGGTCAAGCAGCCGGGAGGAGAGAGGCAAGAGCCAACCTCCTGAGCAGGTGTGGCCTCTAACTGCACATCCAGACCCCGCCCCACCCCCACCCAGGCAGCACCTCCGCTTTGGAGCTGTGGGAGCTTGGTCAAGCTCTTCTGTCTCCCAGCCTGGGGCCCCCTTCCCTCATTTGAGGGACGTAGCTCCCGAAGACGCTCACGTGCGTGCAGGGGCTGGACAGGTGACTGTTCCAGAACAGGAGCCCCCAGCAGCCCCCCACCCAGCAGCACACATGACAGGTGAGCCTGAGCCAGGTGTGGGGACACGGTGGTGCTGAGAGTTGGCCTTCCCAAAGCCCAGCGTGGCCCCAAGGGCACCAGCTCTGCCACGGCCCCGGCGTGGAGACCACCCTGCCCCAACCCCGAGAGACCTCTGCTCACTCCAGGCTCTGTTGCGCCCCTCCCCGCTCCTCACTTCCCCGCTGAACTTCCCGCCCTCGACCTCAAAGCCTCCGGTCTTTCCCAGGTCCCCGTAAGCCGTAATGGAGATGCTTTGCCTCCCTTTCCATGTTGCTGCTGGCGTCTGAAGTACCCGTGAGTGCCGGTGTCTCCGGAGGCGTCTCCAGGACCTGCTGAGAGGAGAGGAAGGGCCGACCTCACACCATCAACTGCGGACACTGAGCTCCGTGATCCAGAAGCTTCCACCTGCTGGGGCCAGCACCGGAACGAACCTGAAAACCTGCCTGTGCATCCTGGACTCACCGGCTTCTCTTTTCTCACCTCCGCCCTTCCCTTTAAAAACCTTTTTTGCTGGCTTGTTGGGGGCGGGGGAGGGCACATCTTGGATCCACAGATCTCTCCTTGTTCCTCTTACCAACTCTCGTCTCTGGCACATTAGGTCTCCAGCAGCAAGCAGCCAGGGCCCAATTATCTTGTCCGGTAACATTCATACATGACACACATGGCACACATGGACACATATGACACACGCGGGACACAGGTGCGCACATCGCTGCTTTTCCAGGCCCATCCCATCTTCACTTCCTTCCCCAGCCAGCTGCCCGAGCTCCTCTCCAGTGCACGTCCTCGGCCCCCGCCCCTTGCCGCTCATGTTTAGAATATCCCGGCATCTGGATCGGGGCCTCCCCTCTGGGGGGTGTGGCCTGGGGTCCGTCTACACAGTGCACACAACACGTGCGCCACCAAATCCACAGACCCACGTGCGATGCAAGGATTTGTGGCACAGATTTGCAGTCGTGGCCAGGGGGGAGGCGAGGTACACACGCTGACCGTCCTGTTGTCAGGAGCTCCCTGTCTCTCGGTCCCTCTGGGTCCAGGAGTCACTGGCTCTGATGCTTTCCCGTGCGACGCCCCGCTCCTGGCTGGCTTTGCGTCTGGCCCAGAGATGCAGGTACAACTCGTGATTGCTCTTGGCTCTTCGGACTCTGTCCAGATGGAGACAGCACGGGCGGCACCGCTGGCACCCCGGACTGTTTCCCGGTGCTGTTGCCCCGCTCCTCACAACTCTGCTCTGTTCACGGGGCTGCTGGGAGCTTGCCCTCTCGTGACTCGTTCCAGGTCATTCCTTTGACTTTCTGAGGGCCACAATGTGTGTCTTACCCAGAGTATAAACAAAATGTGGGCGATAAGTCCTTTTTTGTCATGATAAAGGTATTGTTCCCAGAGAGGGCGTTCAGCCCAGCAGTGAGGACGCGGATAGGGACGCCCACGTGCCGTGTCGGAGAGCCTGGGTTTGATTCTAGCTTCTTACACCCTAAGGCAGCAGTGAGGGGGCAGTTAGTTGGGTTCATGACACCCACGTGGGATCCCTGGACTGACTCAGCTCCCGGCTTTGACCTGGCCCAGGCTCTGCTGTTGTGGGCATTTGGGGAGTGAACAGCAGATGGGAGCATTCTCACATTCTCACTCTCTCTCTCTGAGCCCCTAACGATGGCCACAGTTCTGCTGCTACACACAAGGGCGCCCCCTGCTCTTCTGGGATGACCATCCAGCACCCAGCATGATTCAGGACCACCCTGGAAGACCTGACATCACCGCAAAGGTGGGAGGTGGGAGAGGATGCCACTGAGATGATGAGTGTGCAGGCCATGTTCCCAGGAGCCACACTCAGCAGTGACACCCCCAGATGATCCCATAGACATGAGATGTGCTCCTTGGAGCATCTGGTCAACCTCGCATGTTGGGCAGTTTGGAAAGCAGCTGAGGAACAGCAGTGGGGTCAGGACTCATAAGGGTCCAGGTCGAGGCTGGGGCCCTCACCCAGTGGTACTGCCAGCCCTGGCCAGTCGCAAGCACTGGTGGGGGACTTGGAAAGATTCTGGGAGGGCAGGACAGTGGGCAGCGCCAGGGTGGTCTGGCAAGCACCCGGTCATGGGCACTGGGCCACCCCAGAAGCTCAGGGAAGAAGGCACAGACATCAGTGTTGAAGGAACACGCTCCACGGCAGGCACCAAGGCATAACGGGGCTTCTGCTTCTGACCCTCCTGCGGGCAGGTCAGAGGTCAGCAGGGCACCGGCTGGCACTCCTCATTTGGCCCCAGAGCAGGAGCCGGGCAGGCTGAGCGGGAGGGGCAACGGAGACCCCGCGAAGCCACTCCTCCGGGGCTCTTTCCTCCACGGACAAGAAACAGAACCGGCTCCAGGGCCTGAGAAAGGGGCTGAACCAGGAGAGGATCCGTGAGGCCCCAGCTGTAGCGACTGGACAGGAGGGGGCAGAGGCCAGGCCACCACTCCCGAACAGGACGTCTCAGAATTGATCCTCTTCTCCACCCGTGCCGTGTTCCTTGGGGGCCTGTGCTGTACCCCAGCCCACTCCGGGGTCTGCAGCCTGGGCCATCAGCAGGGGTGGTGAGCACGGTCCTCACCCACGCAGAGGGAGCTGTGTCAGCCGCCGCCGAGGGGTCCCACCCTACCTGCGCTGTCTCTGCGAAGCTATTCTGAAAACAAGATGAACACTGCAATCGGAGGACTCTGTGTGGGTGGCCACGCCCAACTCGCTGAAGGCCCGGATGGAGAAAGCCTGGCCCTGCCAAAGAGGGAATCAGCCGATGTCAACTGCCCCCGACCCTGAACATCCTGGATTCCTCAGCCTACAGTCGCGTGAGCCACTCCTGAAAGTCCACCCCGATCTGGCCATCCCTGCTTATCTACTACATTCCCATATAGCCATATCTTGTGCGTCTACCTCTACGTAATGTCGTCATGCACCCTTATCTATCATCCATTCGTTATCGAGTGCCTTCCTATGCAGGTGTATCTTATGCATCTGTCTATACATAATGTCGACATACGTCTCTGTGACATGGGGACGGGGTCATTGGTCACTAGGCAGGGACGTGTCCTGGGAAATGCGTCTTTGGGTGATTTTGTCATTGTGCAAATGTCACAGAGTGCATTGCACAAACCCAGATGGCACAGCCGCCACACACCTAGGCTCCACGGGCCAGCCCATTGCTCCCAGGACACAAACCTGCACAGAGCTGCCGTACTAAGCACGGCAGGCCACTTAACACCACGGCAAGCACGTGCAGAACTCCACGACACAAGAGCTAGAAAGTGGTGCGCCTGGAGCAGCTACTGACCTGAGGGAGCTCGAGGGACTGGAGTCAGTGGGTGGGTGACCAAGGACATTCCTGCCCGCTGTGGCAGGCGTCGTCAGCACGGGACCCTTGGGCTACACGGAAATTAGTAAAAAGATTTTCTTTTGTCGATAATAAATTAACTTTTGCTTACTGTGACTTTTTACCAACTTTAAATGTTTTCATCTTTTGGACTCATAATATCACTTAGCATAAATACGTTGTACCACTGTATAAAAATATTTTCTTTATATGCTTATGCTATAAGCTTTTATCTATATTTAAATAATTATTTTTTAATTTTTTGAAATATTTCAAAAATGGTTATTTATTTGCAAGGCCGAGCAGCAGCAGAAAGAGAGCGAGAGAACTTCCATTGGCTGGTTCACTCTCCAAATGCCCAAGAACGGCCCGGGCTGCGCCAGGTTGAAGCCAGGAGCCCAGAACTCCATCTGAGTCTCCCACATGGGTGGCAGGGGCCCAGGTCCCTGAGCTGCCTTCCAGGGTGCATTAGCAGAGAGCAGGATGGGAAGCGGAGGAGCTGGGTTGCCCCTAGTGGCAGCCACGCCAGCGGCACCACAATGCCCGCCCTTGAACATCTTTGGACAGCAGCCAGGCTGCCCGGAGCCAGGGCCGTCACGGTCTGCCAGCTCCGCACCTCGGCCCCTGAAAGGTGTT